TTGGGGGGGTGTTTTCAAGATTTTCAAGGGGGTTTTTCGGGTTTTCCAAACCCCCTTTTTTTTTTTTTTTTTTTTTTTTTTTTTTTTGTCTTTTTTCCGTGTCCGGCAACGGATCGCAACCCTCAGTGTTGCCCCCGTACCGGACCGGGGACCGGCAACGGGATCGCAAGCCTCGGTGTTGCTCCCGCACCTCGCTCAGCCAGTGAGCGGGAGCCGGTCTGTATGTGGGATCCGAACCCTCGGACGGGAGCGCCGCCGCGCTTCCCAAGCGGCGCACTATCCAGTGTGCCACCGGGCCGGCCCGATAGTTGGAGACTTTTAACTCTCCTCTCTCAATAACTGATAGAACAAATAGACCAAAAAAAAAAAAAAAAAAAAGAAAAAAGAAAAAATGAGGGTTTGGAAGATCCGAACAACCACCTTGACATCTCTGAAACACTACCCCCAACAAAAATAGGATCCATATTCTTTTCAAGTGCACACAGAACATTCTCTAACATAAACCATATCCTGGGCCATAAAAATGTCTCAATAAATTTGAAAGTATTGAAATTATAGAGTATGTTCACTGACTACTGTGGTATTAAACTAGAGATAAACAATAGGAGACCTAGAAAATCCTCAAATAGTAGGAAATTGACATACTGCTAAACTCATGGTTCAAAGAAGAATTAGTAGGAAAATAGAAAATAATTTGAACTGAGTAATGGAAGAATATATAAAAATTCATGGGATATAGCTAATATGGTCCTTTGAGGGAAATTTATAGCTTTATATGACTGTGTTAGAAAAGAAGAAAAGTATAAAATCAGTGACCTCTGCTTCCTCCTTAAGAACCTAGATAAAAAGAGCAAATTAAATACAAAGTAAATAAAAGAGAGGAAATGGTAAATATATGAGCAGAAATCAATAAAATAAAGGACAAATAATAAAGTCAGCAAAGCTGGGAGTTGGTTCTTTGAAAAGTTAATAAAATTGATGAACTCTTAGCAAGACTGATCAAGAGAAAAAAACCCAGAAAACACAGATTAGTGATACTAGGAATGAAAGAAGAAGCACCACTACGTGTCCTACAGACATTAAAAATACAATGTTGAATTTTATCAAATATTAAAGGAATAAATAATACTGATTCTAGAAAAACTCTGTCAGAAAATAGAGGAGGAACTAACGCCTCCCAGCTCATATTTATTTATTTTTTTGTGAGGTTTTTGTTTTTCTTTTAAATTTTTACTGAATCATAATTGACTGTACATATATTTGGGGTTCAATGTTGAGATATGTTGATTAAATCAATATTACTAGCATATATATTGTTACAAATCGTAATTATTCTTTATGCCCCTTGTCCAATCTCTCCGCATCCCCCTCTCCCTCCCTGCCCTAATTGCCCTAGATTTCTTCTCTCCTTCCGAAAGAGTAATAGTTACTCTGTTGATTTGTTGCCTAGATGATCTGTCCAATGCTGAGAGATGTGATCAGGTCCCCCAATATTATCATAGAGC